AGTTTTCATTGTATGCTTGTTTACTTATTTTAGAACGAAGTACAGAAAGCTAAATTGTAATGTTGGTTTGCATACCCAAAATTACCAATTGTGTCAGGGACACTCCAACATAAAAAAAAAAATAACTCCCTTTATGAATGTTGGCCACCATATCTTAGGTGCATTGCGCAAGTCTCTGAGTTTTTGCAGAACTATGCCCTCTCTGGCGACAAGCGAAACTGCAACCAGAGGTGTGCAGGCTCGTGCACGCATACGCACGCTTGCACCAGGGCCGTGCACAGACCTTTTGAGGGGCATGTGCTGAAACTGAAAAAGGGCACCCCCCTCCCTTTTTTTATATCAAGATTATTTAGCAAGCGTACATAAAAAGGAGGAAATGGTCACATCTTCATGACAAATCAAAAAAGAATAGTCTCAAAAGCTTTAGATTTATTCACTATTAATAACAACCATAATATAATAGATATACAAGGTTTTAGGGCTTCTTTAAACCTAATTACAACAGCAACCTTCTATGAGCCATGCTTGAAGATGTGTATGACTTCACTGCGGCCATGAAGGTCTGAGAGTCTCTCCTCTGAGCAAAGGCTTCGGAGTTGGTTCTTAACCGGCTCAGGAACAGACGTGGCGTGAACAGTCTCTTTAATTAACCTAATTTTTTAAAAGAATCTGATTGCAAAGAAGAATTTGATGGCAAAAACTTGATACTGTGGAGGACCAATGTTGGTCTCTTGAAGGTCTCTAAAATAAGCCAGCAATGAAAAAAATTATAAAATAGTGTGAAAAGTACAGTTGCAGTGAAAAGCATTTCTGAAGGATCACGTGACTCTGAAGAGTACTGACCTGGAGTAAAGATGCTGAAAATTCAGCTTTGACCACAGAAATAAATTAGGCTACATTTTAAAATATATTCAAATAGAAAACAGTTATTTTAAATTGTAAAAATATTTCACAATATTACTGTTTTTGCTTATTTTGGATCAAATAAATTAAGCCTTGGAGTGAATTAAATCACGAATTACATTCTGCATGATAAAATATAAAGATTTAACAGTGATCTTCTGTAATGTTTTTTTTTTTAAGTTACTACTACAATATTACTGTAGTAAAACCATGTTTTACTACATTTATACATGTGAGGACGACCGGAGAGTATAGAATAGCCTACTATATAGATAACAAATTACATTGCGAATACGTGCATATTAACAGCCTTGAATTAACCTTAATTTAATATTATTGCCATAACATGATTAAATGTTAATAAATTAAGTGTATCAGCAGCAATCATAAAGCAAAGAACACATTTCTTAGAAATATATGTTAGGTAGGTGACGAGGATCACTCGTCGATTTGTGTAGTTCCAGTACAAACCGCGCGGGGGCGCACCTGTGCTTATGATTTTCCTATGGAAACGGCGCCGGCGGCATCATTCCATTTTCATCAACAGCTTACCAAATAGATTGTTATAGCTATATATAGACGCTCAGTTTTTCCTGTTGTAAAATACATTTGGTCAAAATCGCATTTTATAAAAAATGAAATGCTACTGTATGCACAGGCTATTTAAGTGTAGGGTATGTATTGGCTATGACTATGACAAATGCTAGCCTAGACCTCTCTCTCAGGTCCCACATCTTAGTCAGACCAGTGGCGGAGCCAGGATTTTTTCATAGGGGTGGCCAGTAAGGGGCCAGCAAACAGTCTGGGGTGGCACATAAATCTTAATTATTTTAACATAATAATTAGTTTAAATAATGTATTGGACTGTTCCTACACAACTGAATACAGTTAATTTGTATTCAATTGAGAGAGTAGTGAATTAGGAATCATGGAATACTGAGTGAATTTGATATTTTTTTATTATTATTAGCTACTTACCACCTCCAGGCATATTAATAAAGGGGACACACACTATAGCTAAACTTCTTTAGTCATATAGTAAACTTGCTCAGTTAGCATGGTTCTGGTTCTCAAAACCCCCAACATTGTTGCACCTTCATGGATGATACATCCAGAGACTCTAGTTCAAAGATTATTTACCCTTCATTGAATTTTATATAATCAATTAACTCTTCAACTTTCTATATTAGTAGTCAAAATAAAGAATATAAACCGTTCTATCATACCTAATTAAAAAGGGGGGGGAAACATCTCTTTTGAATCGCTATGTGCAAGAATGTGAATAAGGCGGAAGTCAACATGCACATAAATGGCAGAATGTAAAATTAGTTATTTTATGGATTTAAAAATTATGCATTTTATTTTGTCCTTTCCAAATTACCGCAAAATTACCGCCTATCTTCTAGTACAAATGTGCTCACATGTATATTGTACATTTAATGTACATTTAACTCATAATGTACATTTATTTGTACATTAAAAAACCACATAGCCTATCAGTTTGTGCCTTAAACATGGCAGAATATTTTAGTCTAGACATATGTGACGCATATATAACAAATACATACATGCATGCAGTTTTGACACAGATTTTATCGCCTTTTTGATTATTTCATGAGTTAATTGACAACAGAACTACGGCTACAGCACGCCACATTTGCGCGTGATGTGCAAGTACAGTACAACGTCTGACAGGACAGCAAAAAGTTAGTTAAACTGACATTTGTTGACCTTGCAATATCTCATCTTACAGCAGATAGCCAACTGATTCAGGACAACGCGCTTTTCTCCGCATCTGACGGAAGTGTCACAAGCTTTCACACAGATCTTTCAAAATAAAAGTAGAATCAGAAAAAAAGAGAATTACGTTGTTGTTTCTTTGACTGGACATATGCGACTCACTCAAAACGGTCTTGCAACCCACCAGTTGAGGAACATCGACTCGATATTTACTATGCTCCGATCACTGCTGAAGCTTATTCGGCAACTGTACATTTCCGCTCTCGTTTGACTTGCGCCTGGCGCTGAGGTGAAGTTGGAGTGCGCGTCTGAAAAGTCTCACGTTTTTTGTGGTCGTAAGATACGGTTCTGTGTTTTAAAAACGCAATTCTTGTAAAAAAAAAAAAAAAAGAAGAGAAAAAAAAGAGAGAGAGACATAAACGGCAGTTGTGAGAGGGGTGGCCAAAGGGGTGGCCAAGCTTAAGCCAAGGGTGGCCATGGCCACCCCTGGCCACCCCCTGGCTCCGCCACTGAGTCAGACATCAAATAAATAAAATATGAGCTTTTATAGACAACGTGTTTAGTACTTATTCAAACAACAAGATCTTTGTTTACCCTTGCAAAACTTCGTTCAGCTGCTGTCTGCTGTGCGGCCGCTGCGGAGCTTCAGTTCATTCAGTCACGATAGAGGGGGCGGAGTTATCAGCCTTACTGACAGTTTGAGGATCGAACAAGATTTACACAAGCTCTTTTTAAGATCTTTCATTGGCTAAATATTTTTAAAACAGACAGATAGACTTAAAGGGTGACCAATAGCATTGATTTATAAAAAAAACAAAAAAAAAAACACCACCACCAAAAAAAGGGCACTTCGGTAAAAAGGGCATGTGCTCTGCACAGGTTGAGCCCTACCTGTGCACGTGCCTGGCTTGCACGACCAAAAGCTGTTCATAACCAAAGGAGCATCAGCCGCACAAATCTTTTGTTTACAGTCATAATGTCTTCAGAGGTAATAAAGTTATAAATCTGCAAGTCATTTTAAATATATGAAAGGAAAGGCATTTGAGTAAATTACACACTTATGTGTGAGGGGAAAACGGGGGTAGTATAAAACTTCGGTTTTTGTTTCCATCTATCTCCATGTTGAACTGTTTTATGTGTTTACTGTATCCACTTATGATTGTATTATTATGGAAACACGTTCATGAACAATATAAGTTATTACTTTGTAAAAGCCAACTGAGGATCCCGTTTGAGCCCTAGAGCAGACCGGAAATCTCTCCATTTGTTAACTTAAAAGCCTTCCCGATGTTGACTCTCGTCTTATTCCGACGCCTGTCTGACTCCAATTTGGCCCTTTTGGTGGCACTAGACAAAAGTTGTCTTTTCTTTGTCTTACGTGGAGTTGCGTTGGGGTTTGGAATGAACTACAAGCCGGTCTCTTAGAATCCATCTTCTACTTTTGTCGAAAGTTGACAAAAGTTTTGTCGCTCGAGTTGTCTTCGCTGATACGGAGAATGGCGGCGAATACACAAACCTGCCAGACATAGCCAGGTGAGCGTGAACGCGCATGACGTCACGCCCAGTCTCAAATTTCGTCCCGAATCCCTCAGAATTTTTTTTACTGTACAGGATTATAGAGGCAATCGCAGTGATCAGAGAAGGGCTCATTCAGCCCATCAGGCAATTGTTTAAGCATGTATGGGTTAGAAAAACAGGTATTTTTAACATGAAATGTTGCGCAATGCACCTTTAAATAAAGGTAGGGGGATTTTTTTTATGTCCCCACCAAAGTCAAAATCAAACCTAGACAATCGTGATACAGATATATAATTTGACATAATGTTCAGGTTTCTTATGATCTCATCTCATTCAAGTTTAGTGCATAAAACAGATTGAGCTGTCTCTAATTTAATAATGCGGTCTGCTTTGTCTGATATTCCCATTTCAGGCGTTGGAGTCTACTAGACTAGAGCTGATAAACTGAATCAGGTGTATTTGATTATTTATCCCAACTGAGCTATAGTGACCTCTAGCGGAAACACAATATATTGCATTTTCAAGCATGGTTATCAACTAAAACCATTTAATAAATAATTTCAAGTAAAATTAGCTTTAAAATCAACTTAAAATGAACTCTAAGTTTAATGTTTAATATATAGTTTCAATTAAGTTAGCCTACTTTAACCAAACTAAAACTTAAACTAAAATTTAAATGAAAACAAAAAATAAAATATAATTTATAATATAAACTAAAACAATATAATAGTAGCCTATGTAAATGATACAAAATAACAGTTTAAGTTTCTTACATATTAATTCTAAGATCTTAGCTTCCCTGGATTTGCACGTCTTTACAAAAACAATTTTTTGAAAACTTTTTTTATTGGTACAAAATGCCATTTTATTGTTTGAGTTCATCACACACGTCATACGACACTCATTCCATTTTAGCTGAGATATAACATATTACAGTAATGATAGCATCAACTATTAAAACAAAACAACTGAATCAAACAGAATTGGTCAGTGTCAGAATCACACTGTAGTTGACTCGAACCACGAAATAAACTTTTCTTTGTATTTTCACTGCTTGCCCTGAGTGTAATCTATGGGGTTATACTTTGAGCTGGCTTTTATGAATCATATATAGTTAATTCCCCCCAATTTCAGTTTTGAGCTCAGCTTAACAGATCCTAGTAATTATCCATAATATTATTATAATATCCATATAAGTATTATATAAGTATTATCCATAATAATATTATGCTCTGCCCACATTCAGATCTACATACACTAAGGTAAAGGGTAAAAGCACAACGGTGAAATCTCAACAACGCTTCTGATGACACTTTAAACAGAAATGAATATTTTTCCCTCCTCAATCTACTGTTATCTCTCGCAGCTCAAAGAAAAGAAAAATGTATTTAGTTCTGGAACACTTGATAGATATGGAGCTCACAATAAACAAACAAAAAGATAAAAAGATAGATACAAACACCCCAAATCACTTCTTTCTAACCAAAAGGATAATATAATTTCTACATTACTTTCCCTTCATATGCAGATTCCGCCCCTTCAGTTTATAAAGTGACATCATTACATGATCACATAAGAAGTCCATTCATGTTTAACAATCACCGACAAAAAAGCTCTCATTAGAAAAGAAGCCACTTTTCCATTCATAAAGTGAACATTTAAAGCGGATGCCTTGATATGTCTGCAGGCAGCTATCTAATTTTATTTTGGAATATCATTGAATAGTTCCACTTGGAAGAGTAATTTATTTCTCCCAAAAATGAGGCAGCTTCCTTTTAGCTTCAGGAACTGTGCTATTAAACTACAAAACATGAAGTTTAGAGACATCCTGTCAAAATAATCACTGCAACTGAAAAAAACAAAACAAACTCACCTGCCCAAAGTTACACACACAAAAAAATCATCTATCATAGACACTAGAAGTAAATATAGTCACTTAGCTATTGACCACTCAGACCAGTCTTTTTCACTAGAGCAAAGGTGAAAATTGACTTTGACAGCTAAAAATAGATATTTCCCCCTCCAAATATTAGGTATATAACCCCTCCCCTAGGATTTATATAGTAAGAAATTCCATAAGATCTACAAAATATAGCAATGCCATCTTTAAAAAATAGTTTTGCTTCTTGAAATATTTTGAATACATTCATGACTATTGGTAGTGCCTTTATGAACGGTGGCTTCGCTTGTTCCATTGTCATGGTTGCTGTGTTCCCTCTGCCGTCACTGGTCAGTATCTAGTTTGGTATTCGTGGTGCCATCTGTTGAAATCATTGTAGAACAGAACGATGCTACCAGACGCCATTCCAGTGATGATGCATCTGCAAAGGGTGATGAAGTGAAAGAGATTCAGGAAGAAAGAGGAGAAAGAGACGTGTCAGTATATTGATTGCAGAGTTCATTTAGAGAAGTGCAAAGATAATTGTAACACATTTTGCTTATTTTTTCTCATTTAGAAGAGATCTTTGGCATTTTGTCTCAAACATCTTTGATATGTCAGCGATCATTACTAATCCCAATTATACAACATAATCAAGTCTGGTACAAAAACTAAAAGTTCACAAAGGCAGACGAAATAGTAAATGAAAAGGCTTCAAAATGTCAATGTTGTATTACATATCAATATATGTATTTTATGTGTCATTCTATTCTCAATCAAGCTAGACTACATTCCAGACAGATGTTATTATAAGAAGTATTATTTTTTAATAGTTTAAAAGTTCCATTTTCTTTTCTACTGGAGCCTTTTTCTGGAGGAAGCTGTTGCATTTATAAAAATGGGAACATTGTTGATTCTTTGTAATGTATCTACTGTACCAAATGAGACCAGAAAAAAAACATACACTAATATTCAAAAGTTTGGGGCCAGTATGAAGAAGGATATCAATGCTTTTATTCAGCAAGAATGCATTCAATTTGTCACAAGTGACAGTAAAGACATTTAAATAGTTAATATATATATTTATACATATACATATACAGGTCCTTCTAAAAAAATTAGCATATTGTGATAAAGTTAATTATTTTCCATAATGTAATGATAAAAATTAAACTTTCATATATTTGAGATTCATTGCACACCAACTGAAATATTTCAGGTCTTTTATTGTTTTAATACTGATGATTTTGGCATACAGCTCATGAAAACCCAAAATTCCTATCTCAAAAAATTAGCATATCATGAAAAGGGTCTCTAAAAAAGCTATTAACCTAATCATCTGAATCAACTAATTAACTCTAAACACCTGCAAAAGATTCCTGAGGCTTTTAAAAACTCCCAGCCTGTTTCATTACTCAAAACCGCAATCATGGGTAAGACTGCCGACCTGACTGCTGTCCAGAAGGCCATCATTGACACCCTCAAGCAAGAGGGTAAGACAGAAAGAAATTTCTGAACAAATAGGCTGTTCCCAGAGTGCTGTATCAATGCACCTCAGTGGGAAGTCTGTGGGAAGGAAAAAGTGTGGCAAAAAACGCTGCACACCGAGAAGAGGTGACCGGACCCTGAGGAAGATTGTGGAGAAGGACCGATTCCAGACCTTGGGGGACCTGCGGAAGCAGTGGACTGAGTCTGGAGTAAAAACATCCAGAGCCACCGTGCACAGGCGTGTGCAGGAAATGGGCTACAGGTGCCGCATTCCCCAGGTCAAGTCACTTTTGAACCAGAAACAGCGGCAGAAGCGCCCGACCTGGGCTACAGAGAAGCAGCACTGGACTGTTGCTCAGTTTTGCATGTCATTCGGAAATCAAGGTGCCAGAGTCTGGAGGAAGATGGGGGAGAAGGAAATGCCAAAATGCCTGAAGTCCAGTGTCAAGTACCCACAGTCAGTGATGGTCTGGGGTGCCATGTCAGCTGCTGGTGTTGGTGCACTGTGTTTTATCAAGGGCAGGGTCAATGCAGCTAGCTATCAGGAGATTTTGGAGCACTTCATGCTTCCATCTGCTGAAAAGCTTTATGGAGATGAAGATTTCATTTTTCAGCACGACCTGGCACCTGCTCACAGTGCCAAAACCACTGGAAAATGGTTTACTGACCATGGTATTACTGTGCTCAATTGGCCTGCCAACTCTCCTGACCTGAACCCCATAGAGAATCTGTGGGATATTGTGAAGAGAAAGTTGAGAGACGCAAGACCCAACACTCTGGATGAGCTTAAGGCCGCTATCGAAGCATCCTGGGCCTCCATAACACAGCAGTGCCACAGGCTGATTGCCTCCATGCCACGCCGCATTGAAGAAGTCAGTTCTGCAAAAGGATTCCCGACCAAGTTTTGACTATTGAGTGCATAACTGAACATAATTATTTGAAGGTTGACTTTTTTTTTTTTATTAAAAACACTTCTTTTATTGGTCGGATGAAATATGCTAATTTTTTGAGACAGGAATTTAGGGTTTTCATGAGCTGTATGCCAAAATCATCAGTATTAAAACAATAAAAGACCTGAAATTTTTCAGTTGGTGTGCAATGAATCTAAAATATTTGAAAGTTTAATTTTTATCATTACATTATGGAAAATGAAATGAACTTTATCACAATATGCTAATTTTTTGAGAAGGACCTGTATATATATATACAGTCAAACCAAAAATTATTCAGACACCAGATATATATTTTTTTACTAGTGGGTGCAGGACTCTATAGTTCATTTATGTAAGTGAGGATTGCAAAATAAAGTAAACTGTGACATATTATACCCCAAAAAAGTGGGTATAATCTTTATAAAGTGGACTACCAGTAAAATTTATAAAAATTTGGGACCAAAATGTATTCAGACACTTTGACCTGACCATGTATTGCTTAAGTGTTTTTTCTTTAATTGCTAATGCGACCTTTTTACACCACAGACTGAACAAAATTAAGCATGGCTTGGTAATTGGTTGACCTAAATTGGTATTTGTCCCGAGCAGGACTAGGCCGAGAGACGTGAGAGAACGGTGCAAGGCCGGTGGCGTGAGTGGTAATGTCCGACACCTGTGAGACGTCTCTCGGCCTCGTCCTGCTCGCCACAGTATTATCTAATTGTGTACTTAAATTTAACAGCTGACAGCTATTCAACCTAATTCATTCGTGAGACAGTCTAACAGAAGGATGGCCAAAACCACTGAAATATCAACTGATCTGATAACTCTGAGTTCTTGTCATATTGTATTACCATTTTCTAAACTATAGCGAAAAAAACTGATAATGTGAGAAATTTTGAAGGTGTCTGAATACATTTTGGTTTGACTTTGAATAAGATTGAATTGTGCATTTACAGACATAACACAGTATATATTGTTACGATTATACTTGCTCTCCCCAATGTCATATATAGTCTGGTAAAGGAACAGGAACCAAGTTGGTGTCTATGTAAAGTATGCTACCTTTGGTCATGTGACATAGCCATAGAGCGTATTCCAGCATCACATCCTGGGTAAGTGAAGAGCTGTTTGAGATCATGAATCTGCCACAAGCTGAGAACTCCTGAATCTCCTCCAGACAGCAGATACTGTCCGTCTTTACTTAGCAGCATCGCCTGGAGCAGAAAACAGAGGACACTCAGTGTGTTATATAAAAAACAGTCTGTTTGTCACAGTCACACACTGTGTGCAGTATAACTATTTTCTGCTTTTCATTTTCCAAGTCAAAGTGGTGGGTTCATGTATGCGAGTACGTTTTGCTTAATTTGCTTAACGTTTGTTAAATTCCAGATAAAACACGTCACGCAAATATTTTTTCACAGATATGATAGCTTCACAATAAATATAAAAAAACCTATCAGTCACAACAGCCTCACTTTAAAATATATTAAAGGCAATTAACCACTCAAAAAGACCCCAGACCTTTTAGCGGTCTTTCAAATTTCACGATGATAAATAACCCTGATAAGCATTTGATGGGTGTTTTAAATATGCTTTTTTTTGCTTGTTCTCGGCTCAGTGAATAAGGTCTTTGTAGCCGATGATGAACGTCTGGAGCATCCGGCTGGCCGGTGATTACAGGGGTTTACTGACACCCCTGTGGACCTTAGAGTGAGTGTGCCCTGCCTCATCCAATCAAAAGCCACACAACCCCCGATCTTTCCCAGCATGCACGGGGCCAACCTGGCGAACAGTTTGTTTCTTAAACCGCTGTAGCGGTGGTATCCTGCGGCGAAGGGCAGACAGAGTATGAGATTTATTCTGTTCATCTGGTTTTCCTGTGTGCACATGGGCTATGTAACACTTTAGAGGTCCCCTGAGAAACACAGATAATACAGAACAGCAAACACACTGGGCTCTTTCATTCCACGCACACGCACACACACACCTTAAGAGCAGTCTTAAATGAGTTAAATAAAATGGTGAGAAAATGGGAGGCGTGTGAGACGTGTGACAGCGGCAGATCTTAAAGTGACCAATAATACTGTCCGTCATTAATGTTGATCAAAGAACAAAGTTAACAGAAAATTACTCACTGCTCTTGACTAAATAACTTTTGTAGCTTTAATAAAGATTAATCTATATTTAATTTAATTTATGCAGTGCAGACTGTTTGACAACTTTATTCAATTTCTGTATATTTCCTACCTGTTAGACAGGAAAGGATTGTTTTAAGTCAACTTAAATTAAAAGTTGTTACATTTTTTGAAGCCTAATAAATGTTAAAAACAATTACACTGTAATGTTGAATGGCTTTAATTAATATTTAAAAAAATAAAAATCAGTTTCATTGAGACATCAGTAGCTGTATTTGTATCAGTGATACTGGCCTTAATTCATAAAAAAGATGCCATTAATGTTTGTACATTAAGGTTTCTAAATTAATTTGGAGATTAACTGTGAAATAATTTTGTTTGATTACCATATAAAATCTATTAAAAATGTATAAAAATGTAAGTGGTTTTAATCACGATTATTCACAGAAAATAATTGTGATTAATCTAGTTACATTTTTAATCAATTGACAGCACTAATATATATATATATATATATATATATATATATATATTAGGGCTGTCAAATGATTAATCGTGATTAATCACATCCAAAATAAAAGTTTTTGTTTACATAATATATGTGAGTGCACTGTGTATAATTATTTTATATATATAAATACACACACGCTTGTATATATTTAAGAAATATTTTCATGTATATACTGTATATAGATTTATATATAATTTATATTATATATAAATATAAATATTTTATATATAAATAATATTTTTTTCTTAAATATACATGCATGTGTGTGTATTTATATATATACAAAATAATTATACACAGTGCACCCACATATATTATGTAAACACAAACTTTTATTTTGGATGTGATTAATCGTGATTAATCATTTGACAGCCCTAATATATATATATATACATACATCCACACACATTATATAAACAAACTTTTATGTTAGATGTGATTAATCGATTCATTGATTTGACAGCACTACTAAATATATAAGTCAGTTATTTTATTTTATGTACAGATCCAGCACTAATCCAGGTGATGCTCACAACAGGAGCTAGAATGGACCGGAGAACTTTGGCTTCCTGTAGTGGAGACCTAGTTGTCACAAGGGCTGTATTTCAGTAACTATTAGGTTTTCACTTAAAACTCCATTTACTCAAATGCTTGTTATCTTCCGGAACAATTTTGTATAATTATTTCAACGGGCTAGGTTGAAACCATTTTAAATTCGTTTTTTTGGTCAACTCAGTTATCCGAAACTAAGATGGCAATATCATCTTTATTCGTAATGGCTGATGGTTAAATAAGTGAACGTCATAAAATCATACTGACATACATTTAGGCAATAGATGATTATTATACAGTTAAATACACTGAACAAAATTATAAACGCAACACTTTTGTTTTTGCCCCCATTGTTCATGAGCTGAACTCAAAGATCTAAGACTTTTTCTATGTACACAAAAGGCCTATTTCTCTCAAATATTGTTCATAAATCTGTCTAAATCTGTGTTAGTGAGCACTTCTCCTTTGCCGAGATCCATCCACCTCACAGGTGTGGCATATCAAGATGCTGATTAGACAGCATGATTATTGCACAGGTGTGCCTTAGGCTGGCCACAATAAAAGGCCACTCTAAAATGTGCAGTTTTATCACACAGCACAAGGCCACAGATGTCGCAAGTTTTGAGGGAGCGTGCAATTGGGATGCTGACTGCAGGAAGGTCCACCAGAGCTGTTGCCCGTGAATTGAATGTTCATTTCTCTACCATAAGCCGTCTCCAAAGGCGTTTCAGAGAATTTGGCAGTACATCCAACCGGCCTTACAACCGCAGAACACGTGTAACCACACCAGCCCAGGACCTCCACATCCAGCATCTTCACCTCCAAGATCGTCTGAGACCAGCCACCCGGACAGATGCTGCAACAATCGGTTTGCATAACCAAAGAATTTCTGCACAAACTGTCAGAAATCGTCTCAGGGAAGCTCATCTGCATGCTCGTAGTCCTCATCGGGGTCTCGACCTGACTGCAGTTCGTCGTCGTAATTGACTTGAGTGGGCAAATGCTCACATTCGATGGCGTCTGGCACTTTGGAGAGGGCAGATGGTAGACAGCGTGTATGGCGTCGTGTGGGTGAGCGGTTTGCTGATGTCAACGTTGTGGATCGAGTGGCCCATGGTGACGGTAGGGTTATGGTATGTTATGGACAACGAACACAGGTGCATTTTATTGATTTTGAATGCACAGAGATACCGTGACGAGGTCCTGAGGCCCATTGTTGTCCCATTCATCCACGACCATCACCTCATGTTGCAGCATGATAATGCACGGCCCCATGTTCCAAGGATCTTTACACAATTCCTGGAAGCTGAAAACATCCCAGTTCTTGCATGGCCAGCATACTCACCGGACATGTCACCCACTGAGCATGTTTGGGATGCTCTGGATCGGCGTATACGACAGCGTGTTCCAGGTCCTGGAGTGGACCAACATTCCACAGGCCACAATCAACAACCTGATCAACTCTATGCGAAGGAGATTTGTTGCACTGCATGAGGCAAATGGTGGTCGCACCAGATACTGACTGTTTTTCATTTTTTTCTGGTATTGCTTGTGGTTTGTGTTTTTTCTAACAGGCAAGATGGCTTCTGTGACTGTTCCGGCAGCTGATTAGTGGTTCAACGGCTGATTGGGACTTGGAACTCCGCCCATTCGTCAGCTGCAGCTGGCTGGGCTCTTTATAAAGCCGAGTTTTAGATCAGTTCTTTCTCTCTGTTCCTGCTGTTGGTTTGGTTTGTACCATGTGGGGATGTTTATGACGTTTAGACTACTTCTCTGACATTTTGATTAGAACATTTGACAATAGTTTTAAAATGTTTTTGTGTGTTAGTAAACCCCAGCTTGTGTTCCATTTTGGAACTTGTAACAGCAGGATGGAGCATTTGTTTGTTTGTGGATTCTTATAATTTGTGTTAATTACATTTTTTCTTTGTTGTTCATAGGGAGTTGGGGAGTAGATTTAGAGCTACCCCGGGGTATACATTACCCATAGGTATATTTCTCTGTCTAGGAACATCAGCTAGACCTGGGTGGACCACCAGCTGTAAGTTTGGTTAGGGCGCCTTGATCGTGTGCCAGATAGGGGTTTATTGGGGGTTAGTATAGATTAGGGGTGGGGTCTGTTTTGTTTATTTCTTTGCTTTGGTCTGTCCAGCCCTCCCCATTTTCCCAGAAAATTATTATTGTTTATTATTTACACTCTCACACACACACACACACACACACACACACACACACACACACACACACACACACACACACACACACACACACACACACACACACACACACACACACACACACACACACACACCTAATTCCCCACTAGCACAGTCCTGGGTGAAATACCCAGTATCAATCACAGAGACTGTTCTGCTAGATCGCTGTCCAGCAGACTTCAGACGTTACAGCAGCTGGGATCTGAGTGCATTTGCGTGCATGTGACCTCTTTTGATTTGTTTTGGATGTATCTGAGATGTGTGTAATAAGGTTTCAGGTTACACTGTGGCAAAAACTTAAGCATTTTATGTCAGTCGTGGTATGAAGCAGAGGCTCAGGACAGACATATGGGAAGAATCACCAGAGACTGTCTCAACTATGTCTCAATTAATGACAGGAAGAGAATAAAGCGATTCTTCAAAGTTATGCACGTGTTTCGCTTTTCCTTTATTGTCCGTAATATGAATCATCCCAAAATCCAGCAATGTGAACAGATTCAAACTCCACCCTGTGACTCACTCTGAGATTGGATAATAATGTTGTTTGGTCACTGCTGCAACAGGAATTAAGTCTTCTGTTCTAATGTGCCTTATTGCTTCAAAGATGTCTGAGAAAATATATCAGTACATAATCCAGCATCCACGGTGGTCCCTCTGGACCATGTCTGGAAAAGGGTCTGTGAGAAGCAGAGATGTCCAGGTTGCAGAGCGGGCTGGGTCAGAATCATAAATCAGTGCTCTCCTCCAGGGCCGCCATTCCAGAATCCAAGATGGCTGCCGTGACTCAGATATCTGACTTAAAGTCATGCTGTGATTTTAAACAACAGGGTTGTGTTGGATGATGCCCCACTGTTTTTTCTCTCTCTCCTGATCTGCTGATCTGTCTGTGTTAGGTCAGGATATGTCTGGCACAAGTAAGGACTGGATTTATGAAGACTTTAATGCAGTCTATTGCGTATGTGCAGACGGCTCGGGAAATGTCTGCTAAAATGGTTACTAACAGACATGCGCTCAGTTGTGGGCTCCAGAGAGTCATTCATGTATTATTTCTACTTGTCCAAATTAATGTTCTGTCAGACCATCAGCATGAAGACTCACTTTAACCACAGCAACAAACTGTCCCAGCAACCCACTTACTCAAACACAAAACCACATACACCCTCTTCTCCACAAACACACGCTGTCACAAAGATGACACTCCATCTGGCATGAGAGGAGCTTACTGTGTCACAGTGTGTGTGTTGAGGTCAGAGATGGGCAAGAGAAGTTGAGTACTTGAAAATGATGGCAATAATTGATCAGGGATAATATTTCTGTGACTTCATGTTTATTTTTGAATTCACTAATTGTCATGTAGAGCATTATGTAAAAACTAAAACTTGCCAAAAGCAGCCTCGTTTTGATTGGTGACATTTAGTAAGATTGGTTAGAAGGGGACTTTGTTTGAATTGAGTATCATTCTGTTTCAGTGAATGACAAAAAAGAAATAAAATACCTTTAAAGCCGTAGTCAGACTAAGAATGCACTAGGGCTTATGTTTTTATTAAATAGATCACCAATAAAATAATAATAAACACTCAAAAAGGGGGAATATTTCATCTACTCCACTTTCCCCACAATGCTGCAAACCTGCAGCTTTGAAGTTTGTGTACTTTAAATTCAGTGCAAGAGGTCAATCTGTGATGTTTAGATCCTCTATTGGTCACGTCTTCTCATTATACAAACAGTTGTAGGTCAGCGTTAAACAAATGTGAAGGCGAATGCAACATTTGCATAACCTTTGGTTTTCCATTCTCCTGTTTGCGCGAATATGAATGGAAGTCAAAGGAGTTTAGCATGACTGTGTCTTTATTTCACACAAACATTCAAAATGATCCTATTTTGAAATCTCTTATGCTGTAAAACATTTCAAAATTATTTATCAGTCTGATTTTAGATAAATTATACCAAAATGTATGTTGGCTTTGAACAAGGACAATAATTAAATTGTCTAGTAAATCTACACTACTGTTCAAAAGTTTTGTTTTTTTTCTCCAAAGTTTTTGAAAGTCTTTTATGCTCACTAAGGCTGCATTTATTTGATCAAACAGACAGTAAAACAGTAATGTAAAGAAATATTACTTCAATTTAAAATAACTGGTTTCTATTTTAATATAAATGTATTCTATTCTATTTTATATTCTGTTTTAATAATACAAATGTAATTTACTCCTGTGATGGCAAAGCCGATTTTTCAGTCTTCAGTGTCGCACGATCCTTCAGATTTGGTGCTCAAGAAACATTTCTTATAACATTTCTTAACATTATTATCAATGTTGAAAACAGCGTCTTAATATTCTTTGAGGAAACAATGATAGTTTTTTTAAGGATTCTTTGATGAACAGAAAGTTCAAAAGAACAGCATTTATTTGAAATAGAAATTTGAAACATTACAAATGTATTTACAGTCACTTCTGATCAACTGAATGTGTCCTTGCTGAATAAAAGCATTCATTTCTTTAAAAAGCCCAAACCTTTGAACAGTACTGTATAATGATCACTGCTAATTTTTTCTTTAAAACATTAGTACACAAATGTACAAAATAAATCCAGGATCATAATTCTATAAGATGACAGACTAATCCTCCATTATGTCATATTGGTTGAATAATAAAGAAGTGTGTTAAAGAGCGAAGCCACCCCTCTTCTCCGTCACTCCAGACTCTGTTTATTGAAAACAAATGGAGCCTGGACACAATGAGGAAACTAATCAAGCTCGGAGCAGCAGAGAGCAGAGGAGCACGTAACAGAGCCGGCCTGTTAAATGGGATGCAGGTGTGGGTATGTGTGTGCAGGACAGAGAGAGAGAGAGAGAGAGAGAGAGAGAGAGAGGGGGGTGGAGATGCAGAGCTCTGTGAATTTTCCCAGGCCCCGAGGAAAGAGAAAGTGATGGAGCAGGAATGAGGGAAAGAGAGCTGGCCGATTTTAGGAGCTCTGCCTGCCAATGACAAATGTGTCCTTTAATGCAGGAGGCCTCGCAATTGGCCCTTCCTCTCTCTTGCTCACTCTCATACACACATGCAAGTTGAGTGGCATTTCGTAGCCCTGCAGATCAAAGGACAGATTCGGACCCTTAGGGTTCAGAAGCCAAGAGAAAGAGAGATGGAGAGAGGAAAGAGCGAGGCCTGTAGGCAGATCATGCCAGCGTTTAATCACATCCCCAGACAGCTGACATGATAAAACACAGAGGCTGAGAACAAATGGAAAGAGAGAAAGAAAAAGGAGGGACAAATGGACATGCGAGAGCTGCCCAACTTGTTGGCCTTGCTTCCTATTGCACATAATTGTAATAGTTAATGCTCATGTTTACCTTGATGTTGTCTTCCACCTCCATATGTCCCAGTAGTTTCCCATTGATGCTGAACACACAGAAGTGGCCCTTGTCATAATAAATGACACAGTGACCCTCAGTGGAGGACATAACCAAACGTGGCCGCACACAGCCGTCTGGACCCTCCAGAGTCCTCAACAGGTCACCGTTCATAGAGTGGACAAGACATGGACCCTCTGTTGTCACACACATACAGAAACATGAGGGTCAAATCAGATACAATTACAGTGTGTTGCTGCACCAAATTGTATATGTTATTTGGGACCTAAAAAGGTCTGTTGATTTTAACATTTGTAATATTTGTTCATCCCCTGACACATTTGTTATTTGTATCTGGGAAGCCATGTTTAGGATAGATATCTCAAGAATTATGATATACATAGACAGTCATTTTCCTGTCAAGTACAAAAGGTTTAGCGCCTACTCAGGGCACAAATATTTTAATAGTAGGCCCCAAAAGTTGGAAGGAAGAAAAAATCTAGAGATTGTGGTACAGGGGCCTTAATTACACTCATAAAAACACTAAAGATAAATACTTAAAAATGCGTTTTGATCTTAGTTAAAAACACAGGCTTTAAATAACATTGTCAATTTTCTAATTCTCCGTCATGAATAAAATGTTAATGTCTCACATTTTGATCAAGTATGGTATTATATTAAGCTAATTTTGAGGAACTCATTTGAAAATGTTGAATATGTAGGACAATTTTGTAAAGTGGCACTGAAGCAGATTTATATGTGCACTGCTTCCATGCAAAAGACAACTTTGACCAAAATCAAGTAAAATAACTAAAACCCAAATGAACTAATACATACATAAGATGAATTAACTATTTAAAATAAATACAATTTAAAATGATATAGCAATAAAAAAATGAAAATGAATTACCAAATTAATTCTATAAGCAGCACTGTATCTGCTCAGTGTTTGCGTTTGCTTTACCTCTGCAGCCACTGATGACCAGTCCCAGCTCTGCACACACACTCGCACACGTCACCTCACAATCATGACCGGTCAGGATCGCCCGAGGAGTCACAAACTCAGCTGGAGAGACATACGCAGAGTTGATCAAAAATAGTTCATACAAACGCAAAAAGGGAGCACAAATAATAATTACAATCAGAAAACTGTACACTATATTAAAGAACATACAGTAATAACTTCACTTAGTAACACGACCGTCAATTTCAATGTTTAAATTAGGTTTTTATTTGTTGTCTACTCTGTGATAATGTAATTAGAGTGTGTAATTACTGCAATCAGACACTTATACTGTACCTGTGTTACAGTGTGTGCACACTCTTGCTCTCTTCTGCCATCCATGTGACCTATTTCAATCAGTCTAATGAGCTCTGCTGGATTTAAGTGTGCACTTTCTGTCTCTATCACTCACACAAACACCTGCCTTTCAACGTGGCTCAGGTAATGCCACAAATAACAGTTAATGAACTAATGAATTGTCACTTTTTACCTGGACAAAAAGAAGTCGTACATTTAATTTCTTTAACTCAGTCTCTCTCTCTCTCTCTCACACACTGAGTGTAGATGTATAGGTTTCATTAGGTGGCAAACTTCCTAAACGTCTCAGCTTTGAGTTATACCCTACAACTCTGGGGATTAAAGCCTGATGTCGGATTGTGCCCTGAAAAGATCAATAAAACTGATATATTGGTGTATCGTTTAACCTCCCCGTCATCGGCCACCATTTGGTTTGCATTAGGACAACATCTGATTACAATCTAATACCTATATATACTGTATACTATTTATCTGTACTGCAAATGTGCACTAGAGAGTATCATTTACTCATAGAAAGAAAGAGAGAAAATGAATACATAAACAGAAGACAATTCTAGAGGTTTTTTTTGTTTTTTGCAGTAATATTTGCAAATGAAACGGCATCAGATTGGATTAGTTATAAAAATCAGGCTTCATGACAGTGCTATGCATGATTTGGTCATTAGATGGCAGTGTGGTCAACAGAATCAATTCAACAATTCTTCACAGTACACTGCCCGGGAAAGCCTGGGTATGGATATAAACAACTCTGTGTTTGAAATCATACTGTAACGTCATTCCTGTCCGAAACGAAGAACTGTGTCAGAATGAAAGAAATGAACAAATAGCAAAAAATAAAATGTCATCATTGCTGACCAGCAATTTGCTGTTTAGCTCTAAAAATCCACTGCAGAATCTACAGCACCGCTGCAAAAGAAAATATATTTGAAAGGAGTTGTGGGATTGCAGCATTGTCTTTGCTGGCTGCACACAAAAGCAGACATACAGACTTGTAAACAAATGACTCCTATAAGCTGATTCTTTTAATGAATTGCTCACAAACATTCACTCATGGTGGCTGATTGTTTTGAATCATTCTAACAAATCATTGACTGAATTAACATGACTCACTTACAGAACCACGAATCATGTTTGACTCAAAAAAGTAACAAGAACTTGAATCCATATTATTACTGATGGGTTGTTAATTTGATTAAAATGTAATATTTGAATTTTAAAAAAAGAAGTCATTAAACAAAATAATTAGTAAAAAAAACGAAATGTTACCAAAATCATAATAATAAATAGTAGTTTGGACCAATTATGGAAGTTTGAACAAATTCCTGCAAAGTTTATTGATCGTGACTGACTGAATTTATTTATTTATTTATTTTTTTAGCTTTTGAACTTTCATCCCTTCACCCACATAATAACATTACTGGAAAATCTGTCCTGCACCATTCTACATGTGATATCCAGAGATTCAGTTTCATTTCACTTTAGATGAAACTCGTAGGCTCTTTAATGTCACTGATGGCAACCATCTACTACAGTCGTACTTATCTTTAGACGCTCATTACCTAAATCACAATTAGTCATAAATCCTGCCCCATTTGTAAGAGAGCACTTAACAGCATGTAGAGCATCCAAAAACTCCAAATTAGCAAAGGGGAAGTGTGTGTTTTTGCGAGGGTGTGCGCGTAGAGGGCTTTGATCAGCACCGCAGCCATATGGTTAGTGTGCGCAGGGGAAGCCCGTGGCATTTTTCACTTTTATTGAGTGTTCTCTTGCTCTCTCAGATAGATGGGACTGAACTCTCCTGAGCCGGAGACCTCCGAGTCACATTTACTGTCTCCCTCTGTGGCCCTCTGGCCTCCACTTTCACTCACACACACACACACACAGGCCGATTCCATTTATGGTGTGATACTAGCCTGAAACTCAATCTTCTGAGCAGAGACCTGCTGTGGTCAGATGAAACTAGTTGTAGCTTCTGAGATTGAGCCGTAAATCATTACACTGGCCTTGACAGACACACACTGGAATGTGTGTGTATGAACAATGAGCTTTTAACACTGTTGCGTTGCATTGATATCATCACCTGCATGAAAGCTTTTCCTATGTGTGTTTGCTAAGCTCTGGTTGGGGATTTGGGTTCTGAACGTTACCCTGATCTTGACCTCTCTATGTGAGGAACATGAGGAACTCTAGAGACTCTTTTGAAATCATTTGTTCAGACACATTATGGAGCCTTCATTAAAAGAACCGTTCATCCAAAACTGAAAATGCCATGTGGAACGCAAAAGGAGTTATCTAGCAGGATGTCCAATTTGCTTGTTTCTAGACAACAAAACTGACACGAATAGTCAGTAAATTATGACATCATTTTCATTTTTGAATGAACACACACACATCTGTACGTGACTTAAACATTTACAACTTACTCCCAGGGTTCTCTCCAATGCTGCTGTGCTTGCCGTTCCAGTACCAGAGCAGTAGTGTGGCGTCTCTGGAGCCGGAGAGAACGTAACAGTCTCCACCAATGTAGGATTCTGAGCGAGCCAGACAGGTCACCACATCAAGATGCCCAAACACAATCTGTGTCAGTTTACCTGTAAACACACAACAACACAGCAGGGTAAACCACTTATTGCATGTGTGTGGTGTTGGGTATGTACAAAGCACTATATATATATATATATATATATATATATATAGTGGTGGCCAAAATTATTAGAACGGTAAGATTTTACAGCAAAAACAGTAATATTGTGAAAGATTTTTACAATTTAAAATAACTGTTTTCTATTTGAATATATTTTAAAGTGCAATTTAATTCTGTGTTGGTAAAGCTGAATTTTCAGCATCATTACTCCAGTCTTCAGTGTTGCATGATCCTTCAGAAATCATCCTAATATGATGATTTGAAGCTCAAGAAACATTTATTATTATTATCAATGTTGAAAACAGATCACAGGAATAAATTACATTTTAAATTATATTCAAATAGAAAAGTTATTTTAAATTGTACGAATATTTCACAATATTACAGTTTTTTTGTGTATTTTGGATCAAATAAATGAAGCCTTGGTGAGCAGAAGAGACTTCTTTTAAAACATTAAAAAATCTAACCGTTTTAATAATTTTGGCCATCACTGTGTATATATATATATATATATATATATATAATGGCTTTGATCTTCATGAGGCCAGCAGTTTCCAGTGCAGTACTCCCTGCAGGGTGCGAGTGAATGACTCCACTGAGATGTTGCTGTCTGCTGAGCCGTTTACATACGCCAGATGAGCTCACACACTCCCCAATTCTTACTGCACTTTAAATATTTGCTTTTGGAGAACTGCATGTGCATGCTAGCATCTGTATAATGCATAACACAAACAAACATCAAGCATTTGAGGGACAAGGTATGCATTTCTGTCTGTTTGTCTGTCTATCTATCAACCCATTTACTGTACGTGTTTGTGTGTGTAGAGCGTTTGAGTGTGGTGCGATTCTATTGAAATTCAAGTTCCGCTTGCGTGACTTGCGTTCTGAGCCTCATCTTCCCGCGAGATGGAGTCATGGTCCATCCGTGAGATGAGAAAGCTATCTGAGCCCTGGGGCAATGGAGTTGTAATGCAGTCTGCAGGCTCATTTGTGACTTTTGACCCTTTTCTTTTGTGTACTGCAGGGGAGGCAGTGTCTCCATAGACAACCGAGGTGGTGGGGGGTCGTCACCTGTATCAGTAGAGTAGACGCGGAAGCTCTTGTCCCAGAATCCACACAGCAGGATGAAGCGGTTGTCAGCTGTGATGACAAAACACTGAGCGTTTACCTGGATGCTCTGATCTAACAGATCTGAGATCTGCCTCCTGTGAGTGCCCACATTATTGGCTGAAAAAAGATAAAGAGTCACTGGTTAAAGAGTCACTTTGGTATAAAAGTACTAACATAACTTTGCTAGTTAGAGAATTACAGGGTAAGAAAAACTTAGTAAAAGAAAGAGATTAACAAGGAAGTAAAGACACCCACAGAATTGTGGAGACATTAACAGAGGGAGTCATATGGTACAAAAATAAAGAGTCTTGACCCTAAAGGTCCATTTCAATGTCTGGTAAGTGAAATTCTGACAACCTCTTAAGAGATTATAAAGATGTAAAACCATTTGCATGAGAAAATATGACATTTATTATTAACTGTGCGTGACCGAATGTAATTTGTGAATGAACACATAAAACAGCAGAAGACAGAACAGTAAAATACCTGTCACATTTTCCTCTGCCATAAACGTTTGAAAAACAGACCCTTTTGGCAAAAGAAAGACTAAAATAATCATAAAAAAAAAATGTGACCAAAATGCTGTAAATTACATGTATTTTCTTAAACACATAAGACAGAGACAGTGAGAGAGAGAGAGATGGAAGAGGCCAGACTACACAGAGTCAGGTGTGTGAGGCCCAGACACACTCGTGACACACACCAGCACGGCGTCTGTGCTGGAGCGAGCGGACAGATTATCAACAGCACAGTCATGCAGAATTTACTGTGTTTAAATGTGTGAGCTGTGTGGAATGCAGTCCGTCTAAATACATACATGACGATGGGAGAAGGAGTGAAAGAAAATGAGCTATGAAAGAGGTCTCTCCCCACACAGAGAGACAGGAGGGAGAGGGGAGGGTGATTTGTTGTCTTTGATAAATCTTTTAAAAGAAAAGAAAAAAAAGAAACAAAAAAGTAAACATCCTGCTTTAGTAAAACATTTCCTACTATAGCTGTGCTAATTTCACATCTCTTTTATCACTTTAATATCATTTCAACTTAAATCAATATTTAATTCCCATTTATTTATTTGGTAGGTAAAAATGCAAACAATACCCTAAAGCCATGTTCCAACACATATTGGAAAACATTAATTCCTATTAATAATTCCTATTTTGGCCATTAAATGCTTAAATTAAATTAAACGTTTTGGTGTCCACATACTTTAGCTATGTATTGTATTGTACTGTATTATATATTCCTTACACACATATTTATAGTATATGTAATATTATAATATAATATAGCTCTTATACATTTATACAATTATTTACACTTATTTACATTTATTTTACACAATATTTACTCAAAATATCTGTAAACAGAAATTGTGCATTAGCACTATTGACTATTTAGCATCTGTTGACAATTTGTAAAAAAAAGAATTCTAGAAGCGGCCCAAGTGGATACATTATCAGATTCAGATCATTTCAAAACACTTTAATAATAATTGCTCTGGTTGAAATTGAAATTCAGTTGTTTCATATGAATTTCAAAGAATTTCAAAATGATTTTGGATTGCTGAAGGCTTAAATTCAGATTTAAAACCAACAGAAGTGGAGGTGTAGAGAAACGTACAGGTGAGTGGAATGAGGGGACACACCATGAAGTGACAAACGGATAAATTAGGCAAGACATATGTTACTGTATAATAATAAGAGCAGCAGGGGAGCAGAGAGATAAGATGAATAGGAGCAGGGAGAGAACCTTCAGAGAGGCTTCAGCCATATGTTATCACACATCTTCCCACTCTCATCCCTCTCTCCTTTTTTACTCCATCATCAACAGGTCGGAGAGATGAGGAGGACATATTGTCCTGACAGCGTGTGCCACGCGGCTTCAATCAGACATTATTACACCATTCATATTCATTCAGTCTGACAGGACAGAGAGACAGAGAAAGAAAGAGAGAGAGAGCTGATGATGTACAGGCTAAGCCACAGCTCATTGCTTTCCAATTTGCATGCAAATGCTGAACTGAAGCTGAATGGCGGCTGGGTGAAAAACAGCACTCATCTCCTCTCAAGGGCTGGGCCCTCACAACTCCCAACAGCCTATCACAAATCACTCTACTGACGATTGACAAGCCACAGACCTATCAAAGGGTCAATCTCCACCGGTAACTGGTACTGCTGGTCCTGCACAGAAGAGCTTTGATGACCTGAGAGAAAGAGAGAGAACCGATGAAAAATAGGTTTAATACATCAGGACGGTATATAATACACATAGTAGCCAGGACTACACCGAGTTTATTCACATCTCTTTACATTGGGATGTGAAGAACAGAGGAAAAGATCAGTTTATTGATATTCATATAAACGGTTAAAAAGGTTTTTCTGGTAGTTAATAGCATTTTTTTTTGTACAGAAAAACACTAATTTACAATGTATCCTTCCCATAGTACAGATCCTAAACATAATTTAAAACCACCATCTGAAGAGATCAAGTTTAAATTCGAGAACCACCCTTTCTCTTAATATCAGCATTTAGACTCTCAGCATTTCTTTCGGTTAGATTGATCTTTAATAAATAAAAAAAAACAAGAAGAGGCTGATAAATGGAGGTGGACAGGAAGCTGAATGCAAGGCAGAGGAAGTGTCACATTTGATCCAATTCAGTCTGAGATATCAATGTCTAAGGAGCCGATGATTATATACAACCAGAGCAGAGTTTAGAGGGATCAAGCTACAGAAGTTTGCATTATATAATGTGCCGAAATGAACGTCATCCTGCATCTGACATCAAACTTCACAGGACCCTAACACACTCTTATGATAATCTTGTATGATCTGCTTACGCCCTCCCGATGGTTAGGTTTAGGGCTGGAGTTACCTTCATGCTTTTTTTTTTTTTTTTTTTTTATCATACATTTCGGTTTGACAAATTGCATGATTACATACGAAATCACCACAATTACGTTTTATCATGAGATAGGGTTGCGTAACCTGGTTAACATAATAACTATCCAGTATCAGGGATGTAAATGAAGAGGCCGCAAGATTCATAGACTGATTCATTACTGATCACCAAACACCTTGCTGTCTGATTGTTCTTACTCACCAGTGAGACCGTGCCACTTGTTGACGGCGAAGAGGCGGTTGGCGGTGACGGTGATGACCGCTGGGTTGGTCAGGCCTGACTGTGTGTTGGCGGCCACGTGGGTGACAGGCGAGTTGGACGGGAACTTGAGGACCATGATGACATCCTGCTGCATCTGCTCTGTGAACATCAGTGGGGTCTGCAGAAGGAGATACTGTTGAGTCCATTACCACCATCATCAGCAGGGAGTGTAGAGGAAAAGAGAGTGATGGTGGGAGAGAGGAAGAGAGAAGAGGGAGAGAAGCAGGAAGAAAGGAAATTAGGCAGCGAAAGACAGAACGGTGTAAAAGAGCACAAAAGCTGAGATTGAGGACAGAGGTAAGTAGGGTAATGCAACACAATATCATAACTGGATTGTTATTAGGGTTGGGAATTGAGAATCTTGGTCAGAACAGGTTTGGAATAAAATATTTTCAAGATTCAGTTCAGGAATGTCTGTATTTTTGTGGATGGAACAAAGCAAAATGATTTGCGAAATCAGCATCAATATTATTTATTTCAAAAAATTGTATTACTGTTTTGTTGAAATCTAAAATTATCTCATGACTTAACAGTTTAGCAGACTTATGATGGTTGTGTATGTAATGAGAATTATTTTCCATACATTTTTTCTTTTCCCCCTAAAAGAGTAGTATTTTGCCACCGTGAAAAGCTGCAATGCATTCGCAGCTTTTCACAACAAAAAAAATTCTGATCATATCTACAGTATATGATTGCATCGGATTAACCTACAAGCTGATTATTACTCATATTAGTCATGTACTGCTATATCATTCCCGTTAAGCCCTATTTTTTTGGACACTAATGAAGTGCATGAACACTTCACATTAAAAGTCCCCCTGTGGTGAAAATCAATGTCTATGTGATATTTTAAAGTTCTTTAAGAGAAACCATGTGCAAATTCATAACACCATTGCTGAGTATTTTCTCTTTAAAACTGCAGTGATCTAAAGACAGTCTCAAAAAACGCGGTTTGAAATCACTGGTTTTTCTTACGTCATAAACTACCTTGTAACCAATCACGCCAACGTGCGGGCGGGCTTTAGCATATCATTAACTATGACCGATCTGAAGCAGGGAGTCTCAAGAGAAGCCAGGTTATCCCCGTATATTTTTCTGTTGATATCAAAAATTGGGTACTTTTAGCAATATAGCGGGTGAATTATGTATATGATGTATATACATAATGAACTATATGCATTTCTCCACTGACGTTCTGAGTTATCCAAAGCGTTTCTAAGGATGCTGATATTTAGAAGAGCTGTCTGACTCTGAGATGGCGAATAGGAACATGGTTTGTGTAACATTAGCAACACATTATTAGCTGTTTGATAACGTAGTCAAGAAAAAGGCTAATCATATTAATTACCGTTATGTGTCCAATGTTGTAAAGAGCGATACTATTGTGCAGCATTTACTTCAGTAAAGTTGACCGAGCGAGTGGATCTCTGAGCTGGTGTGAGTGAGTGGAGGCGGGGCTAATTAGCATCTTCATGGTTCTGCATATACTAAATGAAGCAAGGGTGTAGAGTTACATTCGAATCGAGCTATTTAAAGGCATAAATACTTTTTTTTCACAGCAAAAAAAACATTTAAATATGTCATTTTGGTGATCAAAGATGAGTTCTCTTACGAGAGTATCTCTCGTACTGCGTAATAGCTTACGCTAGGGGAAAAACTCTTTTCCGCGAGATATTGAAGCCAAAAATTATCCTTAATTTTTTATTAATGTAAAACGCTTTGCAGCAGCAAGCAGAAATAGGCGAAACAGCTCGCGCGCCTATTGGTTGCTCTGCAGCAAATGCAGCAGCCTATCGAGAGAGACTCTGCGTGACGTAATGACCAATGGGGGCAATTCGCGCCCATATCGTCACGTCCCGCCAGAAGGGGCGTGGTCTCACCCTATAAATATGCTCGTTAGGCTGATACAAGCTGATTTTTACCTCTTCAGCGAAGCACACGCATCGCTGGATCCGGAGTGAGAAGCCGCGCCGTCGAAGCAAGCCTTTCAGCGGGACGAGCTCTGGAGTCGCTGGCCTCGCCGCCTTCAACTGCCGTACCTGCTGCGCTTTCCGGCGTTCTATATCCTTTCATACTCTGTGTGTATTTACTCTGTTGAGAGTGTTTGCTCGCTTACTTGACGCGACTCACACTTCTCTCACAAAAAGAGCTGCGTCTTTTTAAAGATGCCTTCCTGTGGCTCGTGCCGCGCCCCGCTCAGCGATGGAGACCGGCACGTCATCTGTGTTTCCTGCCTGGGTGAGGATCACGCGGCTCTCGCGCTCGCTGACGGCGGATGCCCTCATTGCGAGCTTTTGCCCATGGTGACTCTGAGGACTCGCCTGGCATCATTCTCCGAGCCTTCACCGCAGCCCGCCGTGGTGCCGCGCCGCAAGAAGCGCCGCGCCCAGCGCGCTCCCGAGCTTTCTCCAGCCCGCCAAAGCTCGCCGGTTCGCCCGCCAGCTTCGCCGGCTTCGCTCGAGTCGCTCACTGACGGACAACGGCTGCCGCCTGCCGCCGCGTCCATCCACGAGTTTGACGAACCCACCGAGGCGTGTTCTCTTCTGGCATCCGATAGTGAGGATTGGGCGAGCTCCGTGGATCTCCCCTCCGCTAGCGTTTCCGGCCAGACCACTGGTAAGAGAGCCGGCATTGAGACTGAGCTGATGCGTCTGCTCTCTCAGGCCGTGGAAAGCATCGGCCTCGATTGGGAGGCGCCCGCGCAGCCGCCGCGCAACAGAACGGACGGACGCTTTCTCGGAAATGACGAGGCTCCGACGAAATCGCGGCCCGCGCCCTTCCTCCCGGAACTTCACGAGGAAGTGACTAAATCGTGGAACGCCCCCTTCTCCGCCAGGCTGCGTACCTCTGCCTCTGCTGCTTTCTCCTCGGTGGATGGCGCGAAGGACAGAGGATACCTTTCTGTTCCTCCTGTGGAACCAGCTGTAGCGTCTCATCTCTGCCCGCCCTCCGCTGGACGGCGCGCTCACACGACGCTACCTTCTAAAGCCTGCCGAGTGACGTCAACCATGCACGGTCGCGCTTACACCGCCGCCGGGCAAGCAGTTTCAGCGCTGCACACTATGGCTATCCTGCAGATCTACCAAGCCGACCTTCTCCTTAAATTGGACGAGGAAGGACCCGGAGCGATCTGCGTGGCGGACCTGAGAAGCGCTACAGACCTCGCTCTTCGCGCTACTAAAGCCGCTGCACAAGCCATAGGACGAAACATGGCCTCTCTCACCGTGGCTGAGAGACACTTATGGCTGACGCTGTCCGAGATGACGGAAGCCGAGCGCTCTGTGTTCCTCGACGCGCCCATTTCACAAGCGGGCCTTTTCGGATCTGCCTTCAAAGATTTCGCGGACAGATTCATGGAGGTGCAAAAGACTTCGCAGGCCATGAAGCACTTCCTTCCGAAGCGCTCGAGCTCCGCTGCAGGCCGCTCAAAACAGCTGTCTGCTCGCAGTTCTCAGCCGCAGCCTGCACCGCCTGCCGCCGCCGCTTCACAGCGCCGCCACGCCCGAGACCAAAGACCGCGCTCTCGCTCTGCTGGACGCCGCCCCCCTCAGCGCGGGCCCCGGCCGAGGATTGAGATCAAGCCCGAGGCCTCAAAATCTTCCTAGCCATTCTAGGAAAGCGACGGTGTTCAGATCCCGCTGCGGCCGGATTTCCACCAAAACTTCTCGCTCGGTCAGTTCCAAACATTGCGACTGTCCCAGTGTATTTCGCAGTGAGCCAGCCGGTGTCTCAGCCCGTTTGCCTGCGCACAAAAGCCGTTTTTACGGCTACCCAGATAAATCCAATAAAGAGTGCATTTTCTGGTGTTCCGGCCACGGCCGATGGTGTTATAAGTGTTGTAAGAATGCCCACCCAGTGCCCATTCACACACACAGACACAGCCCGCCACGGTGCAGGGCTAGCACAAATAAAATCGACTCCGGTCGATTGTGCAAACAATGTAGTAAACGCGCCCATGTCACCATGCCCGCTCACACTACATGCTGCGTGTCCCTTGGTTTCTGTAAAAACGAAACCAACACACATTCAGTCGGCCATGAACGACAGTGTTTTCAGTGTAATAAATGTGCCCGCAGCCCCGCGCCCACATTTTCTCACAGACACGCCGATTCCTACGGGATCTCCCCCGCTCGCTTTTTCTGCACAATCTGCCATAAAAAAGCTGAGCGCGGTCAGGCCGCCCGCTGTGATCAGCGCGCCCCCCGCCTCGAACGCTGTAAACACGGTGTTGTGTTCCCAGTATGCCCGGGCTCTCGAGCTGCCGTTTTGCCGCGACCAGAGCCCGGATTTCATTCTGCCCCTAGCTATTCACGCAGATGCGTGGTCAAAGCTTCCCGGGGTATCAGAATGGGTGCTGAACACTATAAAGAGAGGCTATTCGCTACAATTCGCTCGACGCCTGCGCCGTTACACGGCGCGTGTCGAAACTACGGTGAAAAACGAAGTGTCTCATCTACTTCGTGCCGAGATAGCGAAACTACTGAGCAAAGGGGCTATAGAACCTTTATCTCAGGCTCAGAGCGAAGGGGGCCTATACAGCAGATATTTTCTGGTGCCGAAAAAGGATGGGGGTCTCAGACCCATTTTAGATCTACGACAGCTGAACAGAGTGCTTGTCAAACGCCAGTTCAGAATGCTTACGACCAGGAAAATCCTCGCGCAAGTGCGCCACGGGGACTGGTTTATGTCGATAGATCTGAAAGACGCCTATTTCCAAATACAAATAGCGTCCCATCACAGGCGATTCTTGAGATTCGCCTTCGAGGGCCAGGCATATCAATACACAGTCCTGCCGTTCGGCCTGTCCCTAGCACCTCGTACATTTACGAAGTGCATGGACGCGGCGCTCGCACCCCTGAGACTTCAGGGCATGCGAGTCCTGAACTACTTGGACGATTGGCTGATTCTAGCTCGATCACGATCGGAGCTCATAGAACACAGGGCCGCATTACTCGAGCACCTCGAGGAGCTGGGCCTCACAGTCAATTGGGCGAAGAGCTCACTGTCTCCCAGTCAGAAAATTTCCTTTCTGGGAACCGTGTTGGACTCGCTGTCCATGACAGCACGCCTGTCACCAGAGCGCGTGCTAAATATTCAGCGCGGCGTGAAATCCTTCCGCCACGGCGCGATAGT